CTAAAGAGCTTTTTCTCAGCAAAAGAAACAATTAGTAGGGTGAGTAGAGAACTTATAGAATAGGAGCAAATCTTGACCACATGCACATCAGATACAGCACTAATCTCTAGGATATATAAAGCACCCAAAAACCTTAACACCAAAAAACCAAACAACCCAATCAATAAATGGACCAAGGAACTGAACAGACACTTCTCAGAAGAGGATATAGAATCAATCAATAAACATATGAAAAAAATGTTCAACAGCTCTAGCAATTAGAGAAATGCAAATCAAAACTACTCTAAGATATCATCCCACTCCAGTCAGAATGGCAGCTATTATGCATACAGACAACAGTAAGTGTTGGAGAGGATGTGGGGGAATAGGCCACTCATACTTTGCTGGTGGGACTGCAAATTGGAGCAGCCAATATGGAAAGCAGTAAGGAGATTCCTTGGAAAACTGGGAATGGAACCACCATTTGACCCAGCTATCCCTCTCCTCGGTCTATACCCAAAGGRCTKAARAACAGCACACTACAGTAGGGACACAGCCACACCCTTGTGTATAGCAGCACAGTTCACAATAGCTAAACTGTGGAACCACCTAGATGCCCTTCAGTGGATGGATGGAGAGGGAAACTGTGCCGTATACACACCATGGAACATCACTCGGCATGAGGAGAATGAAACCATGGCATTTGCAGATAAATGGGTGGAGCTGGGGGATATCATGCTGAGTGAAGTCAGCCAATCCCCCCAACCAGAGGCCAATGTTTTCCTGAATATGAGGATTCACACGCGTCATGGGATTGAGGGGAGCCTGGGAGGAACGGGGGACCGCAGACGGGGCATGGGGAGGGAAAGACGGTGGAACGTACACCCGTGAAGGCAGGAACGGTGGGAATACTCTGTGTACAGGGACTTGGGGTGAGCTGCGTTCTGCCCTCGTGCACACAGATGGGACGAGTTACAGCGACGGTCCTCGCACCAGTGTCACAGGGCGCCACCGAGCAAACTCCTTCCAGCAGTCACCGAGCACAGGTCTTTTTACCCGCTGCCCACCTGGCACTAGGGATTGTCTCTTGCGCTGGGCGGAGGACGAGCCATCTCCACAGGAGGCCGCCTCTGGGCCGGTCAGTGTGACCCCGGCTCGGAGAGCAGGAAAAGGGCAGCCGCTGCAAACCCGCCTGCTTCTAACCGGCCTTTCTCCTCCTCCCTGCCGGTGAAAGAGCCTTTTACTCCCTCAGTTCCTTGTTACCGGGGTTTCTTTTGCAACACGCCCAGTTGGGCCTGGGTGGGGCGAAAAAGGACGGCCTCGCACACTGCGGGGCGGGGACCACGGGGCCACTSTGCCCACGAGCTCCTTTTCGGAGGTGCGCGGAGGAAAACAGCGACCCTTGGTGACCCTCACCTACTGCCGTGACTCGGATTCGAACCGAGGTTGCTGCGGCCACAACGCAGAGTACTAACCACTATACGATCACGGCGCGCCACGGGGCCGCCCGCCACGCCGCCTGCGCTCTGCGCCCTTCACAGGGAGGGACGTCTTCTCCGCCCCAGGGCGGCGCCAGGAGGTGCGGTCCGCGGCAGTCCCCGCCCGCCTCCCGCCGGCTCTCCGCCCTCCCGCGGCTCACTGCTCGGCTCGCAGCCAGCGGACGGGCACGCTCCGGGTTTCCGGGCCGAGTGCCCCGCGCTGGCTCCGCCGGCCGCACCTGCCTCCCCGCTGCGGGTCGGGTTGGGGGCCTGGCAGCGGGTCCCGGGTGGCGGGCGGCCCGCGCCCGCGGCTCTGCCCGAAGCGGGGGGCKGTGCGCGCTCGGGGGCGCGGGCCTGGCAGCTGCCCGTGGTGCAGAGCGCCTCCGCTGCGCGCTGCGGCTGCGGGGCTCCTGCCCCCGCGTCGGCCACCGGGGAAGCTTGRCCTTGCTCCCCTCGTCTAGGTCACGGATTAGCCCCCCGCCCTTTTAATCTTTCCCTCGTGCTCCGASGTGGGTTTGCCGGGTTAATGCCCTCCCCGTCCTCCAGCGGGCTCCGAGGGGACCGCTCTTTACTCAGCAGTCCCACCCAGGGCTGTAAAGGTCGAAGGTCACTGTCGCACCTGCGGAGCGGCCGGGCGGACCCACGGAGGCGCCCCCAGTGCTTCCCGCTGGCAGCCCCCGTAGGGCGCCGGCCGGGAGGTTCGCAATCCGCAGCTTGACTTTCTGCGGTTTTGTCTATCTCCTTTCCTTGGGTAACAAGWCCGTCCGATCACCGCCAGGCTGGCCGGATGGACTACCCGCTCCCCAACAGTTATCATTTTGATCAGGAAAGATCTGGTGGCATTCTTAGTCTCAAAGAGATCTTCAAACCTCAAAGAAATGAAATGCTGCCAGTAAGCAGGGGGACACAGGCTTCCCCTGGTCCCAGGCCGACTGGAATGGGACTTCTTTCCTTTGCAGAAGGGCTCTCTCCATCCCCTTTACCGAGCCACAGCAGGCCTGGGCACGTGGCCTCTCCAGCCTGTGCCAGGCCCTGGGTCCAGTTCCCAGCCCCTTCAGCTGCTGTAAGGCTGGGAGGTCAGCTGCTGTGGTGGGCTGGGGAGGCGAGGCCAGAAGCTTCTGTGGGTGGAGTCGCAGCTGCGGGGTGGGTTTCCTGCTGGGGYTGATCTGTGTGAGCTCCTTTGTGGAAATAGGACACAGGGTGTCACAGGCCCTTTCTGGTGCTAACTTGTGAAGGCCTGAGGATTTTGTCTATCATTACGAGATTCTGAGGAAGGATGAGAGGTTGCAGGCACATCCTACCAGCTGCACATCGCCAGTGCCCACACTCTTCCACTCCAGGGCATAGTTTAGCAATTCTTTCCTGTCTCCTCTTCACATCTATAGATGTATGTATGGGAGAACTATTTTATCTCTGTAGGATCTTTCCYACTGGCATTCCAAGTTGTTGTTTCTTTTATCAGGAATAATTCTGTCTCCTTTCAGCTACCGATGAAGCCAGAATTAGACATGCAGTCGGTATAGACAGGTAATTCKAGTGGGTCAGATCAAGGAGGCCAATTTGAGTTAGAGACTGCCCCTCCCCCGCCCCCTCAGGGATTGAAAGGCCTTCAGAGCCCTGCCTCCACCATATCCAGATAACTTGCCCCTGCTCCCCTCTGTTGTCCCAGGAGTTGTCCTTCCCCCTCACCCACCTGTTTCCCACCTTTTGGCCATTCCACACCCAAAGAGCATTTCCTAGGCCTAGTCACAGGCCTAGTCGAATACAGAGGAAGGAGAGATGGGGGAAGGGAGCAGAACAAAGGAMACCCAGGACACATAAAAAGGACAGAATACCTTGCTTTTGGGGATACCAGGCTACCAGCTATGGCCCCCTTCTCCCTTCTGGGAGAAGTCTGTGTTTCCCCTTTKAAAATAAACCCTGCTTTATAATGCTTACCTTGGTGTGCTCGCTAATGATCAAACTTCAACATGTGAGGGAGCAGAGCTGGTCACCGACAACCTGGGGTATCACCAGCACTATGGTCAGCCAGCTTTCAGCCATATTCTCCCAGTGCCATGGAGCTCCCTCTTGTTTCATCTCACTCCTTCATCTAATCTCCTTCCACTTGCATTCCCKAAGCCTCCCCTGGAGCTGGTCTTGTTCCACTAATTGAAATGGTGTCTCCAGTACTTGTTGAGGGGTTCTCATCTTGTCAGCTTTGGTACCGGGGATCCCCAGACCTGTTATCATTATTTGGCACAGGTTCTCACTAAATCGCTAGTACCTTACCAAGTTGCCCAGGCTGGCCTGGAATGTTCCTGTCTCTGCTTTGGGAGCAACTAGGATTTACAGTCCTGGGCTATTGCAAGTGGGCCCGGCTTCTGGATAGCAGTAGATAGAGCAGCTGKATCCCTGTCTTGGAAACTGACGCGGTCTGAATGTGTCCCTGGAATCCAGATGTTGAAAATTACTCGCCAATATTGATACCGCTGGCTATTGGTGATGAGTTCTGCTCCCTCAGACACTGAAGTATAATATTAGGAACCCACGCCGGGGCCAGCCTATAAAGCAGGGTTTATTTAAAAAGAGGTAACAGACTTCTCCTGGGAGGCAGAAAGGGGCCATAGCTGGTGTCCGGGTACCCCATGAAGCGAGGGTGTTTTGCCTTTTTATATGATCCAGGCTTCCTTTGTTCTGCTCTCTTTACTTTCTCCTTCCTGTGTTTGTGTCTAGGCCCAGGAAATGCTTGGTGGGATGGCAAAAGCTGGAAAACAGGTGGGCTGAAGGGGAAAGGGCAGGATGGAGCAATTAGCTCCCTGTAGGGAGGGGCAATTCCTGGGACAGGTGACCTTAGCAACAGGTTGNCATAGCTGGTGTCCGGGTACCCCATGAAGCGAGGGTGTTTTGCCTTTTTATATGATCCAGGCTTCCTTTGTTCGGCTCTCTTTACTTTCTCCTTCCTGTGTTTGTGTCTAGGCCCAGGAAATGCTTGGTGGGATGGCAAAAAGCTGGGAAACAGGTGGGCTGAAGGGGAAAGGGCAGGATGGAGCAATTAGCTCCCTGTAGGGAGGGGCAATTCCTGGGACAGGTGACCTTAGCAACAGGTTGGAGCAGGGGCAGGTTCTTAATAAGGGTGGAGGAAGAACTCTGAAGGAATTAACATCTCAATCCCTCCAGGGGCAGTCTCTAATTTCTTGGAGTCAGTCACCTGGCCTCCTTGATCGACCTGACTGGATTTACCTATCTCTGCTAACTTCCTAATTCTGGCTTCAATATGTGAGTATTAAGAGGTGGGCCTTTAGGAAGTGAGAGCCATCATGGAATAATTACGTMTAGTTTTATAGTTTCATGTGAAGTGAAAGCAAGCCATATCAAGTTGGGGTAGGAACAGGGGAGAGGACCCAAAGTACAGGGCTGTGTAGAGCATGTCAATGTGGAAGAGCAGTCAAGCAGCAGCAGTCTGAGGCTTAAAATTTTGATAACACAAAATAGAAAAAGTATGGAATCCAAGCTACTTAAGGGACTCCATAAAAATAGTATTTATCAYGTGGTTCACAAGCTGAAAGATTTACTAGGACAGTTTACAATTAAATATACAGCCAGATTTATCTGCTATTCCCATCTTTACTTGCAGAAGTCTGTTGAATAAAATGACAATTACAAGAAAAAAAATATGGTAATGGAGTGACACATCTGGGGCTCTGTGTAAAAACCTGCTGAGATTCCCACCCAAAAAACATCATTGTCTCAAGGCCCTTGCATTCAGTTCCCTCTTCCCGAAATACTCAGTCCCAATAAGCCTCCTGCCTTTGTGTCAATGTAAGAATCTCAAGTAACACCTTCAAGGTCATTTTGGTAACCTTATGGTAGTCCCTGTAGCTTTGTAGCTGGTTATAATTGATGTGCATCACCTGGCCTAGTACACCTTGACAAGCTTATCATCCCCACCCAGAAGAAATTCCTAGGGAGGCAGACTTTCCAGGTTGCTTTATCCTTAGCAACAAGTAAACACCTGTTGCAAACAAACAAATGGGATCAATGGGTCAACAGGGTTCTTAGGAAATTTGTTTTTTAGCACATCAACTTCGTTTCCAGAATCTAAGCGACTAATGAAATGTCAATTCCATCCTCTKCAAAGTTACTCCTTGTCACTCAAGCAGGTGACCCCCATTTACAAGACCGCCATGCTCAATTTACTTTTTTAGTCAGTACATCCTGGAGTTTAATATTGCCACTCGTGTTTCAACCAGTTGTAGAATTTGACTACCCCCACTTACTGCTACTGGACCACTACATCCCTGTGCTTCTCAACTCAACGTAAGAAAATTGCCTCCCACAAATATTGTGCAACAAGAGTGCAAACAGTGCCAACAGCTTCTTCAAGGACAGTTTAGGGTGGCTCTGAAAAGAGCCTTTGTTTTGCGATATTTCCAACCTCGCTCCTTATTTGGTCTTGTGGTGGCTTTCCGTCTTCTTGGGCAGCAGCACGGCCTGGATGTTGGGCAGGACACCGCCCTGCGCGATGGTGACTTTCCCCAGCAGCTTGTTGAGCTCCTCATCGTTGCGGATGGCCAGCTGCAGGTGGCGAGGGATGATGCGCGTCTTCTTGTTGTCGCGGGCCGCGTTGCCAGCCAGCTCCAGGATCTCGGCCGTCAGGTACTCGAGCACCGCCGCCAGGTAGACGGGCGCGCCGGCCCCGACCCGCTCGGCATAGTTGCCCTTGCGCAGGAGACGGTGGACTCGCCCTACCGGGAACTGCAGGCCGGCTCGGGAAGAGCGCGTCTTAGCCTTGGCGCGGGCTTTACCGCCTTGCTTACCACGTCCAGACATATCTCGCCAAACTAGCAGCAAAAGGTCCTAAGACCAAACGCCAAAGCGGCACCTTTTATAACCACTMTTGGGCGCGAAAAAGTAGACTTGTCATTGGTTGAAATTGTAACTTCATTCCAACCAATAGAAAAGCGTCTTTGAAATTTACGCATTCTGATTGGGCAAAACTAACTTCTGACGTTCATCAGAACAACCGCCAATGAGAAACAGGCTTTAACTCCACCTTATTTGCGTACAAGGATCTATATAAAGCCGCACCGTGCCTCTAGCTTTGCTTTGCAGCTTCTACTCTTCCACCATGCCTGAGCCAGCGAAGTCCGCTCCTGCCCCGAAGAAGGGCTCCAAGAAGGCGGTGACTAAGGCGCAGAAGAAGGATGGCAAGAAGCGCAAGCGCAGCCGCAAGGAGAGCTACTCGGTCTAYGTGTACAAGGTGCTTAAGCAGGTGCACCCCGACACCGGCATCTCGTCCAAGGCCATGGGCATCATGAACTCSTTCGTGAACGACATCTTCGAGCGCATCGCGGGCGAGGCCTCGCGCCTGGCGCACTACAACAAGCGCTCGACCATCACGTCCCGGGAGATCCAGACGGCGGTGCGCCTGCTGCTGCCCGGGGAGCTGGCCAAGCACGCCGTGTCSGAGGGCACCAAGGCGGTCACCAAGTACACCAGCGCCAAGTAAATGCCATGTAAGCGTCTTTGCACCTAACCCCAAAGGCTCTYTTAAGAGCCACCTACATTTTCAATATCAGAACTGCAAATGTGTCTTCTGATCTTTGTTAGGCTGAGTCTAAAAGTGTCCGAAGTTTTCCATTACACGGTAGTTAGGAATGGTGTTAATCTCTTGTCTAGGGACTAGGGTTTTGCAGGGGAGCTTCACAATCATCTTGAACTAAAATTTGCTTTGTGGCGTTTTGCGTGACTCTTAACAAAACGGCGGTGGTTACGTTACCTGGACTAGAGTTTTTGCTTAMTAATTAAAAAATTCTTAGTCGGGTATACCGAGTGAACATAATGTAATGAGTTGTCTGCTCTTTTGGAAGTGTGTTGGGGATTAACAGGGTAGATAAGTTCACTGTTTATCCAGGTCTTATTCTATCAGTGATTTATGGGTTACATTTGATCTTGATTTTTTAAAAAAGATTTATTTTTTAGTTACAGGTGGGCAACACAATCTTTAGTGCTGAGGATTGAACCCAGTACCTCACTAGTGCTAGGTGAGCCCTTTACCTCTGAGCCATAACCCCAGCCCTCAAATAATTTCAACACAGTTTTTATCAACATTCCAAGCACTGTTCTGTATATGTGCCTGTGATGTATTATCATCTGATGTGGAGGTTATTACTTACATTTTCAATTGTGGAAAGTCACCTACAAAGACTTGGAAGAAATGTCTTTTTTGAAGAGCAAGGGCATAAGCAACGGAAGGGCAGAGTGCCTCATAAGTGAGGAGAGGTGTAATTTGAACTTTCTACAGACTGGTTTCCCTGCCAGGACATCTTTGGATAGCATCTTTGGAGCTGTTTGACCCCTAGGCCGATGGGAGAAAACTACCAGGGTAATGGCACTGCCTGGTWAGATTTCAAGGGGAAGAATGGGATACTAAAGGAAATGTTTGCATTACATTACCTTACTTTCTTCAATGAGTATTGCAGGCCCTAGCTATGTAGGATTTTGGTAGTTTGACTAAAATACACCAATGGTGGTGATGAATTCCACCTACAAGGTATATTTTGCTATTTTTTAGATTTTTGGTTTTGGCCTGGAACTGTATAACTGGTGTGCCGCTGTCATTAATAACAGGCTTATAACCATTTTTGCAAAAGCTGTATCTTGGCTTTACAAAGTTTACTTTCAGACTTTTTTGCTCCTGTTCCAGAATTCTGAAAGTGCATTTTATTTTAATAGAAAACATGAATGGAAGTTTAACCATAACTTTCACCAGTACCTCTTTCCTCATTATTTTCACCTGGATCTCCTTTTGTTTCTCTGGCTAGTTCAGAATAAAACAGCTAGAAAGAATCACAAAGTTAAGGTCAATGTTCTGTCACAATTAACAAAGCTGTGCACAGGGCTTAAATAATTTGCTCAAATTAGGAGAGGTAGAACAAGGATCTGTTATGCCCTTGTTTCCCCCTATTGTACCACTCATGTACGTCAGTCTTTTCCTCTTTCGACAAGTATTAATAACTTGATTTCATTTAGAACAAGAATAAGACTGCTTGTATCTTTATAATCTCTTAAATTATCAAAAAGTTAAGTGTGCTTACTATCTCCTAAAATTATTTTGTCATGAGTAAGTAGTTCATGCTTTAGAACAGTTGTGATTGTGCCATAGCAATTCAGTCTGGAAATTGTTATAGTGTCCAGAATTACACCAACAGTTACAGCTCCTGGTTCTGCCAGACTGGGAAACCAGGAGAAGCTTGCAATGGAGATATGGAGGTTTATTKAACTCTGGTTCATAACTTGGCAATCACATATTTAGTCTATAGACCAAGAAAATGGCATGGCTTTATTCACTGAATAGCAGGGAAAACCTTAGGCATATTTACTGAGTACTTAAGACAGGACAAATTCCACAGCTCTGTGCCCATGAGTAGTGTAATATGTCACCGTGCTTTATTTATCACCTTAGGTCTGAGTAGAACTGGAAGACTTCATTTTCAGGAATAATTAGTGGAGGAAAAAGAAATTCTATCTTCATTTTATTGTTCCAGTCTCTGAACTATTCATATATTTGTGTCTGAAAGCTTAAAGCCAATTTGTTACTCTAATAGGCAYTGTTATAGAAATGTAATGTAATACACACAATTTTTATTTT